GGAATTTAAAGAACATTTTAGTCAGAACTAAAACTCAGCTGAGGAAAACAAAACACTTTTCTGATGTTCTACTGCAAACACTCTTGTATTCCCATCTCTTTGTTGCTCTTAAGACAGAGGAGCAGGTTGCTCTGCTCTCCTGATACACAGACAACTGCAGTCAGCACCAAGCCTTCAGTTGTTTCAAGTCGTTTCCTTTCCTTCAAGACACAGATTGTTTTCAACATTGAGTCAATTTGTGGGAAATGAAAAATTGTTTTGCAACTTCACTGAGAAGACCAAGACCCGGTTATACTTTATGAAGAAGAGACGTATGTCAGTGTGTAATTTAAAATATACTGTGAGACCTTCTGTGGGCTCAGAAATTATTTTCTAAGTCATAGCTTAAAAAAGTTGTTTGCTTCCTTTATCTTTGGATGTCTCTTTTTACGTGAAGAATATCATCAGACTTCAAGCAGTCTAAAGGAAAGCAGAGCTTTTGCTTCTATATATCCCAGGGAAGCTATATGCTATCAGTCTTGATCGTTTGACAGGAAAATAAGCTCATACCAGTTTTTGCTTTCACTATCATTCTCTGAAGAAAATTTATGATACTGCTATGGTGAATCTAAAGCTGTTTCTCTGCTTTCTATTTTGTCCTGTTTCTGCTTAATACAATTGTATTCCTCTTTCTTGTGTGTTTGCCTTTTAGTAAGTCTGGTTTTTTTTCTCCTTGTGCTAGACATTTAGTTTTGTCCTTTTGGTAATATAGATTAAAATGTCACTGCAGACAGAAGTCTCAGACTGAATTGAGAGTAAGTAATAGTTAGACTCATCCTGAATTTTAACAACAGAATATATTTGTGTCAGAAAATGCAATTTTTCTAAAGCAAGCTCCACTGAATTTGATCAAATTTTGTTTTGGGAAGCTGTGCAATGTTCTGATGAGCAATTATAGCAATAATTGAATGTTCTTACTTTTATCCGACTTTGTTATCAAATATCTAGAGGGACTAGAATAAATCCAAGGTTTTCTTTCAATCTGATATCATTAAGAATAAATAAATAAATAAATAAATAAATGTCTTTAAATATTTTACTAGTATAGATGCATGTGGTACTTAAATGGTGTCTCTTAAAGCACAATACAGTAGAAAACATCAGTTTTCAAAGTTTTGAACAAATAAATACATGAACAACAACGATGTCAACTTCATAGGAGCCTTTAAAATACCAAAACAGATAAAAAACAACCAACCAAAGTGAGGAGAAAATAAAACAGAAAAAAATTTAGCTGACTGAAAGAACTGGGCCTTTTCTTAATCTCAGCAAACACAATAATATCAATAAATCTGATGAAAATACTCCAACTAATGTAACATTATGAAGGTGTAAGGATTTCTGTGAGAGACTAGAAACTACTTTTAAATGTGTGCTCTTGCTCCATGAAACAATGCTTTTGAAGACTTTTGCTTAATGTATCTATATAAGAAAAAGAAAGACATAAATATGAAAGAAGGGGTCTGCTTTGTTGCCGCTTTTCCACTAAACATTGATTAAAAGATACATACTTCAAGCAAGAGTTATTTTTACCACTGTCACTCTATTATCTCATTTCCAATGTACCATGAAAATGTTACAGCACTTCGATGACAATAGCCTATGGATGAACAGATATCAGTTAATCTTGAAACTTGCAAGTCTAAAAAATTGTTATCAAAAGGAGAAATAAGAAAAATTACATGAGACTCCATTATGCTATAATTTGAAAAAGTAATAGAAAACCCTCAAGTCAAGGCCACTCTGACTTACAAATATTTATAAATCAAGGTCTTGCTTTAATGGGAGCAGTGCAACTATTTTAATTTTTTGAATCTGAAGTGCACAGTCCCCTAGCTCTTAAAAAATCTTAAATGATAGCATAATATATTCCACTTCTTCACATTGTGAATGCTGGATGCCTTGTTTTAGTTTCTCAAGTGTGCATTGGCTTTCATGTATCCAAACACGTGTGTGTGATTTTATACTTTTGGTCTTGAGAAATACTGAAGTAAAAAGACAGAATCAGCTATTGTTAGAAATTTGTTTCCTGACTTCTTTCTAACTAGCTGCATTGCTGGCTTGTGGGTATGAGCGAAGCTCTGATGAACCTTTTTTAGTTGTTTTTCATTTCTGTTTGGGCTATGTGTAGCTTTTATTACTTTCATTTGAATACCATCTTCATTAGTTTCTTCCACATTGTACTAAGGTTTCATACGACACAATCATCTTCCAAAGCTGAGTTGAATTAGTTTTGTTATTCATGCATACACTTCAAGTGAGCTGTGTTCTGTGTTGTTTTTATTTAAAATAACTTATTTATGTTGGTCTAGATAAACAAAGTAATTTAAACTAACGAATAACTCACGGGATGAGTAAGACAGAAGTATTTTAAAAATAAACTTGTAACAATCACAGAATTACAGAATGGTCTCTTCTGAATGAAAAAAATCTTTGTTATTATAATATTGACTTTCTTTTCCCAAGGGTTTGATAACCCATGTTTTCTTTTTCAAAAACATGCTTCAAATTGGTAAAAATTTTCTAAGAAAACTTAAAACATTCTAACGATGATAGTTACTGGAATAGTTTGTCTCTGATTTCACTTTATAGCATGTGCTGCTTTTTCACTGCTTATACACTCCACGTACACTTCTAAAAATGTGTAATGAGTGCTAAGATGCACCTAGGGATTATGCCTCCTGAATTTTACATGCTTATGGAAATAAAATAAAAACATAATAACCTTACTTGTTTTTTACTTTCTTTTAAATTCTCAGTAAATAAAAAATTATGATGACATGCAGGAGTGGGAGTTATGACAATTGAATAGGTACTCTTGCTACATTTTACGTAGAATCATAGAACCATAGAATCATAGAATGCTTAAGGGGTTGGAAGGGACCTTAAAGATCATTTTGTCCCATCCCCCACTGCCATGGGAAGGAGCACCTTCCACTAGACCAAGTTGCTCAAGACCTTTATCCAACCTGGTTTTGAACACTGCCAGCTTGGGGCATCCATAACTTCCCTGGGCAACCTGTTCCAGTGTCTCACCATTCTCACAGTAAAGAATTTCTTCCTAATATTTTACCTAAATTTCCCCTTTTTCAATTTGTACCCATTACTCCTTGTCCTATTGCTACAGTGCCTGACAAACAGTCCCTCTCTGGCTTCCCTGTAGGCCCCCTTCAGATACTGAAAGGTTGCTATGAGGTCTCCACGCAACCTTCTCTTCTCCAAGCTGAACAACCCCAGCTTTCTCAGTCTATCTTTTTAGGGGAGGTGGTCTGGTCTTATCAATTTTGTAGCTCTCTTCTGGACTTGCTCCTGCAGTTCCACATCCTTCTTAATTTGGGGACACCAAAACTGTACACAATACTCCAGATGGGGTCTCACAAGAGCAGAAGAGAGGGGGAGAATCACTTCCTTCAAACTGCCGGCCACAGTCCTTTTGATACAGCCCAGGATTCGGTTTGGCTTTCTGGGTTGTGAGTACACACTGCTCAGGTTGAGCCAGCTCAGGCTGAGTTTCTAATCAATCATCACCCCCAAGTCTTTCTCAACTGATCTGCTTTCAATCACTTCTCCATCCAACCTGTAGGTGTGTCTGGGATTGCCCCAAGTCAGGTGTAGAACCTTGTGCTTCACTTTGTTGAACTTCATGAACTTTGCATCAGCCCACCTCTCAGCATGTCAAGGTTCCTCTGGATGGCATCTCATCCCTCCAGTGTGTGAACTGCACCACACAGCTTGATGTCGTCAGCGAACTTGTTGAGGGTGCACTTGATCCATGTCACTGACAAAAGTGTTGAACAGTATTGGCCCCAGTACCAACCCCTGAGGAACACCACTCATCACTGGTCTTCATGTGAACAATGAGCCATTGACTGCAACTCTTTGCATGCAACCATCCAGTCAGTTCTTTATCCACTAAGTGGTCCATCCATCAGATCCATGTCTCTCCAATTTAGAGGCAAGGATGTCATGCGGGACAGTATGAAATGCTTTGTATAACTCCAGGTAGATAACGTCAGTTGGTCTGACCTTATCTATCAACTCCATAGCCCCACCACAGAAGGTCACCAAATTTGTCAGGTATGATTTTCCCTTCGTAAAGCCATATTGGCTGTTACCAATCACCCCTTTGTCTTCCACATGCCTTAACATAGTTTCCAGGAGAATCTATTCCATGATCTAGCCTGGCACAGAGGTGAGACTGATTGGTCTGTAGTTCCCTGAATGTTCTGCTTTCCCTTTTTTAGAATTAGAGGCTAAATTTCACTTTTCCCAGTCATCAGGGATTTCACTTAACTGCCATGATTTTTTAAAAAGGATGAATAGTGGCTTAGCAACTCCACCTGCCAGCTCCCCCAGGACTCACAAATTAATCTGATTGTGTCCCACGGACTCGTGCACATTTAGATGTTCCTTAGATGATCTCAAACCTGATCCTCTGCAACAGTGGGCTTAGGGTCTTCATTCTCCCATTCTCTGCATCTGCCTTTCTTGACTTGGGCAGCGTGGTTAGAGCATTTGCCATTGAAGATATATAAAGAATGTATCTTTATGATATTGTTCTTTCTCTAGAATCTAAATGAGCATATTTTCTTAGACTCTAGAAAGTTTGCGGTAAACGATGCCGACACATTTTATTTTAGGAATTTGTGAAATCATAGTTACATACACATCTGTTGAAAATCTACTAAGGATTGCCTGACAGGAACATTTTTATATAGAGCCCTATTTATGAGCTTCCTTGCTGATCGCATTTTAAGAGAATGTCTCCCTGCACAGATGACATTCAGTTTTCTAATTTGCTCTTAAAAAGACAATCCTTTTCAGAGATTTATTTGCTTAAGATAATGAGGTAGGATTACAGAGGAATTAACTTCAATGCTATTAAGTGGGTTGTTTTTTTTCCCCGTGGGTCTAGCCTTATGCTTTCAGTTTGAAAGTAAGCTGAGATTTATTTTTCCTAGGCTACAAAACAAATTCAAGACCAGAAGACAAAAAGGCAGTTGAAGTAGTAATTCTTCAGAAGAATTAAGACACCAGTGTCTTTGAGGTATGTTGGTTTTGGAAATGCTGTTAATTTTTTATTAATCTTGCTGCTATGTATGAGACTAATGGTGAGTGCTTTTGAACACCAGTGACTATTTCACATCTTCAGCTGTAGTTGATTTGAAAGGAAAATCCAAAATACACTTTTCTGTTTTTCTTTTCTTTTTTTTTTTTTTGATAAGCATGAGGTATTGGTTTTAAATGTTCTTGTCTTTTATCTGACACTATTTTTCTGTCTATAAAATTAGATATAGCCGGATGCAAAGTAAAAAGCTGGAGGTTGTATGTTCTTTCCGACTCAACAATCACAGTTTTCTTCATCTGTCAGAGTTACTGTGAAAAATTTCCAAATAAGAAAGTTCAGGAAAAAGCTGTAAAAACTTTCCATTTTGTATGCAATACAGATTGCTATGTTTTAAATAGGTACAAGAAATATTTCTATCAGCTAGATGTTAAAGAGCATGATATAGAAATAAATTGTGAATAGAAAGTCATCAGTAAGTAGAGTGAGTAATGGAGGATAAGCTAAGGAAAATCATCGCTGCCTTACCACAGGTGTAAAAATAGCCTCTAACACTGTTTTTCAGTTACAAAATATTTGTACTCAGTAATTGGGATTTCACTTTTGTAAATGTACAAAACAAGCTTGTGGGGAACTAAGTAAATGGAGTTGATGTTAATTTCATTGTTACCACTTAGCATGTTAAACAGAGCTTAAACAGAACAAATTATGTCTTCTTACATTCAAAAAAATGCTGGGGATCAGAAAACATAATTTCTATTACATTTAGGAAATATTTGTGTGTAGCTTAATTTTCATGGGACTCCTTTGAACCCTAGTTTTCTCTTTCATTCAATATATTGAGTTTCAAAGAATAAGGTTTAACCTATTATTCTCTTATCTGGCAGAATACCTAAATTTTGTATCAGAAAAATGACTTTAACACTGTTGTTGAACTTTTGGTGATACTCTACACACGTGCCAGTGACATCTGGGAATAATGTTTTCTGATAAATGAAAAGTCTCCATTGCCTTTTCCTGACTCCCACTGAGATACATATGTGTTCCTCGGGGCACACTTTGTCTTGCAGATTGTGTTTGATTTGTAGTCCGAGGATAGAAGCTTATTGTATCAGTGTTAAATACATATAGCTGTCAGAAGCATGGTAAGGCAATATATTTATATTCAGCCATTAGGAAAAATGTGTAAATAAAACAGATCTCATTTTACTGGATCTTACTGAAGCAAGACACCAAATAAAATATTGAATATCTTTTAATCAGCTTCAGATGTACTTGTGGCATTGATGTATTTTTGCCTAGCCTGATCCTTAAATGTTCCCACGCACTGTCCATTATTATATATTTTTTAAGCCTTTATAAAATCTTCATTTTCAGTTATGGAGAAATAATTATAAAACTGCAGGAAAAAAGTAATATATTATGAGGAAATACAAAAGAAGTAAAACATATCTGCCCTTTCTCATTCAATCTTCCAGATTGTTAAATCTCGTTCAGTTTAGTATTTCTGTCATTTTTGAGGGTTATATGATGGACAGGTTAGCATCTGATTTCAAATGGATTTTAAATGGATTATTTAATCTGCAGTTCAAAATCTCTGACATTTTACAGAATGGTGTTATGGTCAGGTTACCCAAGTTACTTCAAATAACTTGATTATGGTAGTTTCCATGGTAAACATCGTCCTTCGTGTCAGAGGGGACTCTGACTTTGCCATGTGAGAACCTTTATATTATACAGTAATCAGAATAAGGGAGAGATAATTTTTGTAGCAAATAATTGCTCTCCAAATATATCATTCCTCAAAGTCTTCACATTGCAGTTTAAAAAATGATTTTATGTGTATCTGACATCGTACTTTAATATCTTCTCCCAGTGATATAGGCCTTCTTGAGCAAGCAGTGCAAGGAATTACTAACGAAGTTCATGATGATGCTTTTGAAATAGTCTGCCTTACTGATCTAATAAAACCTAGTGCAATAAATTAATGAAAGAGCTCTATACCAGATAAGTGAAACTTTTACATGTAACTTGTGTATCCATGTTAGGTTGCCCCATGGCTAATAGCCCATCATTTCTCTGTTCCAAACTCAGTGATTTAGTTTTGCTTCTCTGATTTAGAATGAAGTTACCTGGTTTGACCAGTGCTCCTATGCATATTTTGTCTTTATATATGATTATACACACATGAAGCACATATACAATTTTGTCTAAGGTACTAACGCATGCTGCATTGTTTTGCTGTATTTACCTTTTAAAATTGCTCCATGAAAATAGTTTATATATGGAGCACTCTGAGTTTTTATAAACTTCTGCATGTCTGTGTGAAAACCTCACTTGATAAATGCAAATGGAAGTTTAAGAGCTACCTTGTCCCAGATATATATTTATGATGGGGCTAAAGGAACTCTCAGCCTTCTTGCAAGGTTGAAATGCAGAACTGATATTCAGTGTTGCTAAATGTTGACCTTACTTTTCAAGATATAAACCGAGAAATGAATTACCTAAAGTAATGTATTTTTAGTCATCACTGGATTTTAGCCTACCTAAGTACTACAAGACTAATTGGCATTTTACTTCCCTGAAAATCCAGAAACATTGCAGAATGTTTTAAGTGTTTTTTCAAATGGAGTTGAAAAACATTTTAAAGAAGAAAGTTGATTGAAGTTTACAAAAAGAGCCAACTTAGATTTTGAATATATGAAAAATATGTTCTGAGCTTTTCAAGGTTTTCTACTCTGAAAATAATTTTAAAAACTGCAATTATTTTGGAAAAAAAATCACAAAATCATTTCTTACTTCAAAATCTGTATAAACAGATCAACATTTTTCTCAGGCTTAAGAGGATTTGATTGCATTTAAAATAATGATGTAAAAGGCAAAGGCACTTGATCAGAAACATATCGCCCTGTATGTCTTGAAAAAAGAAAAAGTGTTTTGAGACTATTTCAGATTGATCATTAGGGTCAGAAATTTTTAATAGTTTGATTGTGTAACAACCACAATACTCAAGCATTCTTGGAAATCATGAAAATAGCAGATATTCAACCATCTCATTCAAATCTGTTAGAAATATTTCAAGACAATTTTCTAAACATAAGGTCAAAACTTAGTAAAATGTCAGTCATTATTATGACTAGTCTGAACTAGAAGCTAATTTAGTTGGAACCTGTCTGCAGTTTTCCTTTGTGTAACCATTTTCATTTAAAAGTAAAAAACCTAGGCATTTTGTATCTCTTTTGAGAAATCAATCTCATCTTCAAGTAGCCTGTGTGCTCCCTTTTGGGGTTGTAAAGAAAATCATTGGATATTCATAAGATTGTTTTCCATTGTAAATTCAGCGGCGGATATTTCCTACTCTAGGAGTAAAGCAGTGGAAGTACAGCTGAGGATCACATGTGAAATGAAACAGCATGAGGAATCAGGAAGAAGGGAAAGAATGAATTGTATTTATGACTTCAGTTGAGGAAAGTAGCAGGAGATTCCAGATTGAGATGGCCAGGCTGCTAACCTGCCTGTGCAGAGGAGGTGTATCTCCGTGAAGAGGCAGTGGGGCACAGCCCCACCTCATCGGGGCTGAAGTATCTCCCAAGAGCAGCAGGTGGTGAACCAAGGTCCTGGCACTTGGCCATGGTGCACTGCTTTGATGTGGGCTCTGCTGCAGAAGTCATACCCTTTGAAGCAGCTTGGGAGTGAAAGCCAGGTTTGTTTCTCACCTGCAAAGCACGTATTAGGTGTGATCTGATCAGCAGGGGGTCAATCATTTTGTATACAGAAGTTTGATTATAATTGGCTAGTTCTGACACTCGCTAATCTGCTATCTGTATTTGCACACTGTTTGGTTTTGTTTATGAGAATTTATTTAAAATCTAACAGATCCAAAAGGACACTGAAATTCAGACTTCTGTTATAAGTTTTTCCTGGATCTATATAATTCAAAGTGATTATTGATTTTTAACCATTCCAATGAAATTGCAGAAGTGAAAAAAACCCCACACATACATGTATTTTTTTCTTTCAGAACACATGGAAGCTGCTTAGCATGTCACTAATAGCACCTGAAATCTAGGACTTATAAATGCACAAATGTCAGTTTTACCCAAATTGTTATTATTTCTGTGTTCTCTCAGTTCTGTGGGTTTGCTAGCAATATGAATTATTTTTTTCCCAACAAACATTTGCTTATCCTTGTGATTTTTGATGCTTATTTCTTACAGTTATGGTTGGTTGTGTTTTGTTTGTTTTTTTTTACACTGCTTCCTTATGAAATGGCTAAATAGCATAAAATAACTCTTTCAATATATGGATTAAGAAAGAATATCTCTTCCACACAAAAGAGTAGTTGGCCCTTCTCTTTCTTTTCTTTTAAAAGATACTCAAGTTCAAACAAAATAGTGTTTAAATTAACCTATAGGGTTGCCTCAAGAGGAATATGGACTAGCTTTCTTTTTTTCCTCAAACTCTGAAATCACAGTGTCCAGATTCGGCCCACACTCAGGGGAATTTTTTCTATTTATTTTTAATGGATCAGTTTTTGAACAATGAAGCTACTCTTGAGATAACATTCCAGCCATCTATAGGTAGCACACAATTAACTTGAGGCACAAGGAGGAAAACCAGAAAGGAGACACATACAGTATACAGACCATCTCTCTATGTTCTGTATTCTATGTCAATTTTAATGGGTCTGTAAATAGGTCACGGGAGTGATTGATATCAGCACTTAGCTTCCTAGGTGACATCACCCTCTGCTTCTTTACCTATTAGAGATTAAGATGTTGACACACAGAAATTCTGCTTCCTGGCCTGAGAAAAGAAAGTAATTAAACAGTTGTATACTTGACACTGTCTGAATTATTTACCAGTGCAGCTACAAAGTGGAGACCAACAGGAAAGAAGAGCACAGAGAGGATGAGGAAAGTGCACAGACATGCTTGCAGCCCATGTGTGTGAAGGACTTTAATTTAAAGAAACTGTTTCAG